GTAAGATTTAAGTGTTAATTTCACAAACTTTAAATCAGTCTGTTTTCTTTCTCTGTTTTTTTACGTATGAGAAAGAAAGTGATTGCCTCTTTGCATTAACTGATCATGACAAGCTAAGAGTAAAGGAGGTGCGAAATTTGAACTTATTTCAAAAATACCTGAAATTCATCTCTATTTTCAAATACTAATCACAAATCAATAGAATTTACTCGAAAAGATAATGAGAACTAACAAAAGAACTGACGAATACTACTATATAAAAATATTTTAAACTAAAAAACGTTAGCTGCACTTTTCAGACATTTTCTTTTAAAATGGTTTAAAGTCCATTTATTGCCTATTTTGGCAGCTAACACTTAACTAACCATAGTTCAGTTTATGAGACAAGCCTATTTTGTTTTATCAAACACAGTTTAAACGCCCTTTTAGTAGATAATAAAGACAGGAAGACTTAATGTATTTACTTACAGAAACTTCGAGGTCTTGCGTTTTGTTGGTGTAATCTAGTTGCTAAAGATGCTTATGTTTATTTACAGTTTGTGCTAAAATAATATATCAGTCTGTACGAAACGTGTGTTTTATACACTCTAGACCATCCAAAACCTTATATTAGTATGGCACCAACTGCCTATACAGGACTGAACAAGCTTCACAGTGGCGAGAACTAATATGATCACTTGGAAAACAAGTCGTTCATTCGAACCTTTGATCGTCTGAAGTATACGATATGATAAATCTTTTCAGACATTACACAATGTATGTCCTTTGATAGTTTGCCAACTTCAATTACTATTTTTTTTGCCTAGTTATGATCAACAATCATTTACATAAGTATACATAGTCTTCATACTGTCTGCTTTACTGTTCATTATTTATCTTCTCTTGGTGCTTTGAAACTGTTTTACCCATTAAGAACTATTTTGATTTCAGGTGATACACTTATATAACTACATCTCTCTGGTTTCAATAGATCAGTTGCGATAAATTATAAATAGCTCTTAGTAACTATAATTGTCCGAATTTCTGTTTTTAATGAAAGTGTATATTTCAATAATAGTTACAGAATAGACGACTTACAGATAACTGGCTATTGTAATTTTCAGTCACTATTCAATTCGTGATTAGTGTACATTATATATATATATGAGAATAATATGAAAATTTGTAGCTATTATCATAATAATCTTTTCTGTGTAGCAAAACCTTATTATGCACACAAGAGTGAGCTGCTTGTTAGTTTACCATACAATATGGTTATTATCTTGTACACTGTCATTATTAGACCGGATGTAATCAAATAACAAATGTTTGGTATACATCAGATCGAAAGAATTAACGATTAAATAACTTATTTAGAAGGTTTTTTAGAAAGTCATTGCATAATTTGGATGTCAAATGAATGCATACACAGAATCATTAGACTTTTGTTCTCGTCTAGTTTGCAACTCTTTGATTGTTAATGAGTTTAAACAAATTTTATGTCATATATATCTTTCCTCAAAAAAAAACATAATGAACTCATTAGTTTGATGGCACATTTGTAAAAGGACAGACTGATTATTGTAAAAACCAGGAAAATAGTTTTTAACTTATTCACTATTCAGTTCGTAACTTTTTAGCAAATTTTGATTGTTTTAAAACAGCAAATATAGTTTTTGTCAAAAAATATTAGCTCAAGAGAACTATAAGTAGTGTCATGGTGTTTACTTCCATCGTGATAAAAAAATGGGCCATAATTAACCTGGAAATAATATTCATAAAAAAGAAATTATGATGTATTCCTCTTAATGTATTGTCAGTGACAACTACAAAATCTCACAGGAAACATTTGTTCTCTGAATGTTACAGAAGAGTATCAACTAGTATAAATCCTAGGTTTAGGGTTTCCTGTCGTCAACATAAATAGATCTTCATTCCTTTTTTTCACCTATATATCTTCGTTTTCAAAAAATTGAGATATTTAGAAGCTCTGAAGCTTCATAAAGTATTTTTAATACCTACTTCTAGATAGCGTAAATTTCTTCGCTAGAATTAGATTAACACGAACATTTTCTCCTTCCTATTTACACTTTCAAGTTTCGAAAAGTAGTATATCTTGTATCTTTTTTGAAGTCGGTAAACAGATATTAAAATTGATGTGAGCATTGACTTTTTTCTTTAAGTAATATTGAGAAGGAAAGGAGTATCGTGATTTACAGAGTAGAACATGATTCATTTTATCTTATTACTTCCTACTTACTCTTAACAATCTAGAGTGACAATGAACACGAATAAAAATATCACTCTACGCCTATCAGTTTCTAGTCTTTCGACTTCTGCTATCCAATGCAGTAGTTAAAGTTTTGAAATATCATAAATTTATTTTAATTTTGTTCATATTTACGCCTTTTGAGTAACATACGTTGCATTAGTTATAGAAGCAGATAAGCTATTTCAAAATTTACAAGACCCAAAACTAGCTAAGGTCAGATAGTTTACAATCTCTGTACAACTCTGTTATACGTAAATAGGTACTCAAAAATTTGAAGGGTATGTTATATCTTCAGCATTTATAGCTTATTGCAAAATTCTATTCTAATTCTAACAACAATTCAAGTGACGTATAACATCAAACAAGTAAAAGGCCTGAAAAACAAATGTTTTCATGGATAACATCATACGACGAAGAGTTGGAAGTTGTTTAATGCACATTAAATAACTCTTTCACTATTTTAAATTGTTATTTATTGTTCCATTTGGAAATAAGAAATCCGAAGTATGTCAAAATGATAAATAGAATGGTTGTCATAATTCATTTTGTTTGGTAGCCTTGTGAACAGATGAACAGCATTTTAGGTTCGTCACTAGCTACGCTTGATTCTATTACGAGTTCACCTTAGTCGATAAACGCGAACGAGACAATGAACCAGTGTCCAGATAGGCTACCTTGATCCCAAACTGTAAAACGGAAGTCTTGGTAAGCGTAGAAAGTATATTCTGCTACACCCAGCAATCACAATGCAATCAAGCACACAACTCTCGTTTATTTATACATCATAGAAACGTCCTTGAGACAGTCACAAATGTAGCATACTAAAATACACAGCAGCCAATCACGGCCATGGATCTTCCTGGTGGGAAATGAAATCTCAAGGTCAACTGATCAACCCATGCTGGCAAACGTGAAATCCAAAATAAGGCATTTATCAAGCGAGTTCTGGAGATCTAACATCCCTAATACAGCATTAAAAATTAGACTAGAATAACATCTAGTCAAAGTTAAAGTACTCGTACTGTATTTAGCAGAATTTCAATAAAGCTACCCAAGAAAAACTTTATTTAGATAAAGATGTGTTAGTCAAACAATTAAACAATATCCTCACAGACAAGATAACCTACGCATGCGGTAAAATACTAAACAGTTTGGATAGTGTAATTTAAAAAGATAGATTATTAGAACTATGTGATATAGTTAGGCAATATCTTGCCTACCATTTATCTAAATGACCTTTTATTTTTCATATATAAATGTTCTTGTCCAGTGTATGTGTGTTCAGATTGTTAAAAATATATTGCACTAACATATCACATAGTTCTGATAATTTTTGTCTGCTTATTACACCATTCGAAGTAAAAAAAATTTAATACAGTTAGCAAGTTACTAATTGAACACAGATATTTTACAGTGGAAATGTATTCAATGATAAAAGTGGTTTTTTTAACAAGATCTTCCTTTTCTCAGTTGGCGGTTGTTTAAAACAAGTTGTATTCAGTTGCCGCTCCTTTGATTGAATATATATATATATATATCGAGTTTAGAATAGGAGGAAATCTACATTAAAAAGAATTATTTAAAAGTTTATACACAAAACATTCAATCAATATTCATATTGATAGATATCTAAAAAAACAGTTGTGTTTCATTTCACTGTTTCCTGTTTTCCTAAATAATCACTTACAGTTGATATAAGTAGAATGTATAATCAACAAATTACTTGAAATGATAAGTAGGGCAATTTCACTTAATAGAAAAAGATTACATAGATAACAGATAAGAAGCTGTCATGAATTATTGAAATTCCTGAACATGAATTCTTTTGTATTATAGTTAATAAGTCTATTATATTCTTGACATTTCAAAGTAAAAATTTTGAAAATGGACTTCAATTTCGACAGTTGCTAATCTCTCAGTGTAATCATACAGCATATCAATCTAAATTAATTATGTTAAATATTCAATTTGGATTTTTACTATACATAATTGTAATTATATGATTGTACAAAAATGTTCTTCAGAGAATTCATTTCTTTTAATGCTGTCATGCTTGCTTAAATGATGAATTCTATTTCTCCTTATTTCGATAACTTTTAGTTTTTTTTTAAGTTACAATTCTATAGGATGTCACTTTTCTAGGTTGTGTAACTGTAATTGAATATCAACTAGCAATCAGATTCAAAACAGTGACTTTGTCATCTTTCTTATTTGTTAGTTACATGTGTTTATGTCTCAATGACTACCGTCGCTCACCCTGAGATTAATTTAGTTGATCCAAAAAATATTGAAAACTGGGAATCAAAAACATAAATTTCAAATGAGCAATAAAATTTTATTTCCTCATTTAAGATCAACATAAACATGGACGGCCGTTTCGTGCTAGTATGGGACGCATCAGAAGTGCGCATCCATGACTGCCATATGCAGGAATCGAACCTAGGGCCTTCGGTGCTGCGCACGAATGATTAACCTATAGACCATTGAACCGTTTGTGTATTTTTATATCAATGAATTTCAAGCAGTTATCGGATTTTATTCAACCAATAAATCACATAAAACAAAACCCAATAAGTAATTTACTTTAAATCACTGAAACATGAATAAATAAGCAAATTTGAGGTAACCATATAATAAAGGTATATCTCATAAACTACCAATCATTTACTATAAATTAAATTTTAAAAAAACTATTTTATTACTTACACAAAGTAAATAATAATTTTATTTTTATCTCTAATGTTTCAAGAATCGAATGGAAGAAAGTCTTCTACTTTTCAAAACTATCATAAATTATCAATGCTTTGAATCCTTATCAATTGTATTGTTCCTGAATAAAAAAGATATTTTGGAAGAGAAAATACAATATTCACATTTGGTTGATTATTTCCCGAAATTTACAGGTATGAATAAATAATCTATATTTTAAATGATTTTATCAATATTTCATGAAAGTGTGTATACAATTGGAAATATCTTTCAGTACCACAGAGTTCATTACTTTACTGACAATATTAAAAAACTTTAAACTAATCTATTGCTTAACAGGTTAATGAAGTCTATCAAGTTTGTAGGTTGATGTAACAGGCCGATTTCGGTAAAATGATCGGTGAAAACTAAAAACCACTGGATAAATGTTATATGATTAGAGCAGGACACCTTAGTAGTACACACTGATGACTCTACCAGAAATTAGAACCATGAATTTGTACTTTCAAATCATTAACTGGGTTTAGTTACAGAATGATTACAAATATCCAAGCTAGTAATAATTATTGATAGCTTACAAGCGACTTCTTGAGTCCTAATGAGAAACCCTGACCATCGAAGTCCAATCACTTTGTGTATGGAACGATTTCACCAGATGACAGTCTCGCGACAGTGTAAATAAAATGGACTGAAAATTGTAAACCCTTGAATTCCACCTCATTGATCGGTCTGTTGAGCGCTCACTCCTAGGTACGAACATTCTGCATTAGATCCTAGGTGAATTCAGCGGTTGTTATTGCAAAAGTGACACCTACTAGGGCGAAGAAATCTTCTATCGCTTCCCGCTTTTAAATAATTATCCTAATTCATTTATTCCATGATGTAAAACAATAAATTTAGTTTGTTTTAAATATGAAAACACAACAATAAGTACCCAATAAATTTTGATATTATTGAGAAATGATAGGTTTTTTTGGTTGACATATACAAACTGGATTTTAAGAACTGAGTAAAAAAACAGTGATTGTTAATTTTATCATTCATACATATTGAGGATGTTAGATCCTCAGAACTCGCTTCATAAATGCCTTATTTTGGATTTCACGTTTGCCAGCATGGTCGGATCAGTTGACCTTGAGATTTCATTTCCCACCAGGAAAATCCATGGCTGTGATTGGCTGCTGTGTATTTTAGTGTGCTATTTTTGTGACTGTCCCAAGGAAGTTTCTATGATGTATAAATAAACGCGATTTGTGTGCTTGATTGCATTGTGATTGCTGGGTGTTGTAGAATATACTTCTACGCTTACCAAGACTTCTGTTTTACAGTCTGGGATTCAAGGTAGTCTACCTGGACACTGGTTCATTGTCTCGTTCGCGTTTATCGACTAAGGTGAACCCGTAATAGCTTCAAGAGTACTTAGTGACGAACCTAACAATACATTCATAACATAATTTATAGATGAAATTCATTGATAAAAATCTGTTTCACTAACTAATGTACGCTAAAAAGGCATATTATTATGCCAATTAAAGATGGAAATAGAGTTTTTCTGTTAGTTTAATTATTTTTTCAGGTCCAAAAAACGATGCAATAGCTGCACGCAATTTCATACTGACAATGTATCAAGGACTAAATCCAAATTGTGAAAGACCAATTTATTCACACTTTACTTGTGCTACAGGTAAATAGGCTTTTTTAAGAAATATATATATATATATGACTTATTCATTGATGATTACTTTTATTTTAAACTGAAAGTGACTTACTTTACTTACTTTCGCCTATTACACCCAATGGAGCATAGGCCGCCCACCAGTTTTCCCCAACCAACTCTGTCCTGGGCTTCCCTCTCCAGTTCTGTCCAATGTTTGTTCATTCCTCTCATATCTTTCTCTATTTCTCGGCGTAGTGTGTTCCTTGGCCTTCCTCTTTTCCTTTTGCCTTGAGGGTTTCATGTGAGGGCTTGTCTCGTGACGCAGTTAGGTGCTTTCCGCAATGTGTGTCCTATCCACTTGCATCGCTTCTTCATGATTTCCTCCTCCACTGGAATCTGATTTGTTCTCTCCCACAGTTCGTTGTTGCTGATGGTGTCTGGCCAACGAATACGAAGTATTTTGCGTAGACAACTGTTCATAAAAACTTGTATCTTCTTGATGATGGCTTTGGTAGTTCTCCATGTTTCCGCTCCATACAGCAGAACTGTCTTGACATTTGTATTGAAAATGCTGATTTTGGTTTTGGTTGAAAGTTGTTTGGAGTTCCAGATATTTTTCAACTGTAGAAATGCAGCCCTTGCTTTGCCAATCCGTGCCCTAACATCTGCATCGGATCGAGATATGTAAAGGTTTTAACGTCCTTGAAAGCATCTCCATCAAGAGTGATTTGGTTGGTGCATGTTGTGTTGCATCGGAGAGTTTTGCTTTTTCCTTTATGTATGTTGAGACCTACTGCTGCAGAGGCTGCTGCTACACTGGTCGTCTTCTCTTGCATTTGTTGTTGCATGTGCGATAGAAGAGCCAGGTCATCTGAAAGTGAAGTACAATGTAAATCTAAAATTTCAAAATAGAAATGTTTAACTATTTTATTCGATAAAATGTAGTTTAATACTCTATACGAACTTTTCAAACACTAAATTATTTCACTACATCGGTTAACATGATTTTAATTGGTTGAAATTTGACTTCAGTATGAACTTTCGAAAAAGTTATGAAATACAATAAGATCATAGAATTATTGGAATGAAAAATGTTACAATTCAGAAAAAATCAGAACATTTAAATCGAAAGGACTGTTTGTCATTCAGCTGAAAGTACAATGTCCTTACTTACTATTAGATCAGTTCATCGTTTGCAGATAAAGGCAGATAGTTTTTAAAGTAAATTTTAAACTTTTCAGTCAAATATCATATAGACCTTTGGTTGTTGTGATACAACAGAATAGATCATTACATTACAGTTAAATGACTAACCTAGCGATCAAATGAATGATCTTCACTATGTTGTTCAAATCGTATTTCAACACTAAATTAGTAACGTATCTTAAGATTATGCGGACTACAAATCACTTTACTTACTTTCTACACTGGACCGCTGTTTCGTTTAGGTGTGGGACTAATCAGCAGTGCGCATGCCCGACTCCTGCACCTCACAGGGTTCGAACCCAGCACCCTCGGTCTTGCTCGCGAACGCCTCACCTCTGGACCACTAGGCCGGCATCCTACGTGTTAATGTCTAACTCTGATCAATATAGATATTTTGCGCCACCTAACCCATTTGTCTTCAGTAGTTACTGCCTACACCCGACAGGGTTTAACTCTACTTAATTTCACCTATTACATTCGATGGAGCAGAGACCTCTGATAAGCATTCTCCAACCTACTCTGTCATGGAAATTTCCCTTCTAGTTCTGTCCGACTGTTGTTCATTCCTCTCATCTCTGTCTCCATTTCTCAGCGTAACGTGTTCTGTGGTCTTCCTCTTATCCTTTGATCTTGAGAACTTCAAATGAGGGCTTGTCTTGTGACGCGGTTAGGTGCTTTCCTCAATTTGTTTCCTATCCACCTCCAGTGCTTGTTATTGATTCCTCCCTCTGTTGGTATCTATTTTGTTCTCTGTCACAATACGTTATTGATGACAGTGTCTGACCAACGGGTCCTAAGTATTTTGCATAGACAACTGTTAATGAACACTTTTTATCTTCTGGATGATGGCTTACGCAGTTCTCCAAGTTTATTCCTCAACTCAGAACACAAATACTGTGATTAATTCAACCTACTTTACCCATTATGCATCAATCATATTATATTGAATAAATAAGTCACTATTTATTAAGCTGACTGGTTTAAAGTAGGGCGAATCCAGGTCTATAATTATACAGTGAAAATCATTAGATTTTTCATATCAAATTACCGGAAAATTTATTGTAAAACTAAATAAATAATCTAACATCTGATTGTTCAAATACGTTTTTTCGATAATTTCAGATACAGAGAATATTCGAGTTGTTTTTGTTGCTGTGAAAGATACTATATTACAAACAAATTTGAAAGAATTCAATCTCGTCTGAGTTCTATGCATCAAAGTAGTGGTTATTGTCATCTTAACAGAATGCTAGATCATTTGTTTAGACATTTAAAAATATATATTCTTAACAAAACTATAAACAAAATTATTTTATTATTTTATATTTGTTCGTTTGAAATCTCAATCTTATATGAGTCTAAGTGACTGGTATAATTTCTAAAATAGCACAATCGAACAAAACGCTAGTCTGCTTACTGAATCAGTGGTGCACGAATTCAGACATCGATTCAGTCAGGTAATATCTACTATTGGTTAAAATGTTTTTGGTTTATTTATACTGTAAACTTTCAGAAACTTTAATCAAGACAAAGTTAACTGACATAAGCCGCACTAAACAAAGTTGATATTATTATAGAATGTCTAACTTTTTCTTCAATATCTAAATTCATTAGCTCCGGTATTTAGATATATATATATATATATATATATATATATATATATATATATATATATATATATATAAACATAATGACCACATTTTATTGTCATTAAATGTCAGTCAGTACGTGCATCAGCTCAAATCGCCATACCACGATAGCACAGAGATGCAATTTTCAATTCAAATCCCATAGTAGTAGACGAGTATTAACAGTAATCAAAAAGATTAATGATCAAATATAGCATTCGAGAAGTACACCCTCGAGGAATCAGTTAAAAAAGGAGAAAAAACGTTCATGGGTAATTCAGTATATTAAGATTTACGAAAACAAAAAGAACGGATACGCCAGTGCCATTGCAAACGGTTTTGAGCCTTGTCATTCAAGGTTTCTAACCGTTGATCACTATCAACTCCTGGAACCCACCAAGATAGTCTACATTTAACAGCATGACTTACTTCAGAAGTCACGAGGTTGGTGCCTCTTCTGATAACAAGAGCTCTTCTACAGTGTGGGTAGCCGGGAAGTGACAACCGCCCTCAGATCTGTAAAACCTAATTGGTCTCAATCACATACTTTCTATACCTGCTAATAACTCTCTTATCTCCACGACCAGAACTTCTTCCACTGCTTTATCACCTTGCACCGCTGATACAAACGATTTGAGTACACGGAACGTTATTCCTGGTGTCCTGAAACCCCTCTCTGAACTACAAGTTGGCGCTTACAACGTTCAAACCTTGCGTCAAATAGGACAACAAGCATCCCTAGCTACGGCTATAGAACCTCTCACACTGATGTATGCTACGTCTCCGAGACGCGCATACAGTAAAATCATTAATTCGATTTCACTTTGTTCAGATAGAGAATCAACTCGGTTTACGCTTCGTATATCTGAAAGCCCTGCTGCTGTTGCTTCCCATGGCCTCGCTGGTGTAAGTACAGTATTAACTCCGAAGGGAGAACTGTTTCTCCTAGACTGGATCCCGTTAGACAGTCGTTTAAGCGCTGTCTGACTAAACGGGTCAGTAAGGACTCGTAAAGATGGCGAAAATCCCTGTTGCCTCTAACTGACTGCAGTTCCGACCAGGTGAAAGATGAGTTTTACAGAAACCTTTCGAAACTTCTTAAAAACGTTAAGCGCCCTGATTTAGTAGTAGTGGCTAGTAATTTAATGCTCAAGTAGATAGACAAAGAGAAAAAGAACGAAACCTGGCTGGATCTTATGGTGTCGTGGCTGACTGATCAAATAATGACGACCGTTCGCTATAGCTATACTCAAATAACCGCTTATTTCTAGCAGACACTAACTTCAAGCATGAGGAAAATCATCTTTTGTCATAGGGACTCCCACTATTGTCACAACGCTTGGCCCAACTAAATCAAATCTTTATCAGCCACCGACGGAGGAGCTCCATAGAAGGCCGTTACACATTCTGAGACATATGTTTAGATTCAGATCACGCTTGAGTACAAGCGTGTATTTGTTTGCAGCCTAGTGGACGTAGGAAAAACTCCGCAAAGAAACCTCCCATGGTTGAAATTAATGATAAAGAATCTAAAAATATATTTCAGGAATAATTAGGCAACCATGTAGTAAGTGATTCCCACCCCCAAGCAGCTTATAATTACATCCAAAAAGCCGAGGAAACAGAAGTGGAAGCAGCACTGCCAGAAAATCTCTTAGGGTTCTACCTAATGACAGCATAGCTTAGGATATTTTTCAGGAACAACTAGAATAACCATTAGGCCACAGCGTAATAGAAACTCATCCCGATGTAGCTTGGAATGATATCAAAAAAGGTTCTGAAACAGCACTGATATCTGCCAGTAAGGGAAACTATCAGGTTAGGGATAAGCCGTGGATCTCAGCATCATCCACCGAACTGATAGATGCTCGGAAACTCATCCCACTTGGCTCTGAACATGACGAAAAGCGAAGTCAGATAATGCGCAGGATGATAAAAAACCTGAGACAACTGTTCCGTTTTATCAAGGAAACTGGTATTAGGAACCCGAAAGTGAGTAAAACTATCTCGGAAAATGATGGTCTTATTATTCATTCTCAATCCAGGAGATTGGGTCGAAGGCAGAGCACTTCAGAGATCAGTTCAATTGGCCTTCAGCCACACTTCGACTGCCAACGCTCTCCAGTCAACCTGAATGGCAGATCGACGTTAGTCCTCCGATTGTTTGTGAAGTTGAGAAAGCTATAGGAAATCTGAAGCGAGAGAGAGCAGCGAGTCCTAATAGGCTAACCCTGAGATTTTTAAGGATGGTAGTCCAGTCCGAGATCTTAGGTAGAATCTGGGAACTGGGCCTAAACCAATCTGATTGGTCTCAATCACTGATTGTCCCAGTCTACAAGAATCTACAGAAGTCCTCTTGTGATAATCGCAAAGGAACCGGCCTAACTAATATAATATCTAAAATATCAGCCTCAATAAAACTCAGACGCCTAACCAGAGCTCAAGAAGAGCAGACTAGAGAAAACCAGGCTGGTTTTTGACCTGGACGTGGCTGTATAGACCAGATATTCACACTATGTCAGGTCCTAGAAAATAGACACAAACGTCCGACAGTAGTTGTATTATTGGATCTCAAAGTTGTGTTTGACACTATGGATCGTAAGTTTCGGTGGCAGTGTCGACCATCAAAAAGTGTATCAAAGAAGTACATTAACCTTATACAAGCTCTCTACCCGAACATCATTGGTCGAGTGAGAGCTTATGGTGAACTGTCATCGGCAGCGATCCCGCCAAGAGATATTCGTCATGGTTGTCCACTTTCTACATTCTTATCCAACTTTGTTATAGATTTACCTTTAGAGACAACGTTGTCTTCGTCTAACTTTTCAGAAGTGGACCTTCTACCAGGAGATATGCTTGTTGACGTAGAATTTGTCAACGACATAGTTCTACTTGGTGAATACGCTAACAAAATGCAGTCTTCTGACTACCCTAAGCAACAATGCATGCATGTTCAGGATGCGATTCTCCCAGTCGAAATGCAAGACGCTACTCCAGGACTGGCTTGTATTGGCACCTGATCTAGTGACAGGGAATGAAGCAGTTGATCGTGTTGACCGTTTGATATCTCGGGGGTCTCATCAGTGATGATGGACGGGTGAATGACGAAATCTCAGTGCGGACACAGAAGGCTCGATCGGCCTTTTTCAACTTGTGTCATTTATGACGTCGGAGAGATATCCGTTTATTAACCAAGGGACGAGTCTACTGCTCGGCAGTTCTCTCTGTCCAATACACGAGTTTGAAACATGGCCAGTCACAGTAGAAGATATTCGTAGGTTACTGGCTTTTGATCATAAGTGTCTCCGAAGCACTCCTCGTCTATCTTTGGACTATCAAGTAAGCAATGAATTTGTTATGAAACGGGTACTAGGTAAGAATGGCAGATCAACTGATGAAGCCTAACCCTCCTCCTTTATTCGGGCTTGGGACTGGCAGTAGCCCCAGAAGGGCTCCAGGCGGAGTCTGATTACATGTTTTCCAAATAAAACAAAAGCATTTAAAATCAAATAATCTTTACTGACGTGAACTGAAAGGTTAGGTATAGGTCAAACTTCAAAATTCATTCTTAGGTATATTTAAACAAGTTCTGATTTAACTCATACCTGATTTAATATAAAAGAAATCCACCAAAATCACATGCCTACGATCATTTGTAGTCTAAATAAGCTAACTTGTGTTAAATAAAATTCCATCTGTTTTACATTTAATGAAATGACTGACACCAGGAGTAAAATTTAATTAAGTGCCTCTGTTAAGTGTCGCAAATCGTGAGTAGAGCAGAAGAAAATTCAAAGTCTCATAGTATCAACTTGCCTAATGCTTAACAATGTCATCAAAATGTGTCTTTTAACAAAATCTTTCTTTCGATTATTTTCTGAGTTAATTCATATTGCAAATTATTCATACACAGCTTATCCTTTTGTTTTTCATGTCCTATTCAAACAATTTACTTTATATTAATTGCTATACAATCAAAAAAATCCTCATTAACCAAACAAAGTTACGATTTATGGGTTCATTGTAGTACCCATATTTTTATTACTAAACCTTACTAAACATTTTCCTACGAGTGTTAAAGATCAATATTATTAAAGATCAATATCTGATGTATATCTCAAATGATGTAGCCTGTATTTACTATGACGAGAAAAATAAATTGAATAACTTGTCAATTTCAGACAGCTCTATCTAAATGTTAGCCAATCATAAATCATGAATAATACCAACCTTCGAATAAACCAATACAATTAAATTCTGTAGATAGGATAAGAAATATTTTAAGGGATTCGGTAATCAGCTATACAGACAGATACGAAAATCCAAATCTCTTTTCATTAGTTTTATTTCATAGTGTTAATTCGATCAGTATATGAAATTAGTTTGCTATTCTCGTATTTCCTGCTATCTTGATGATCTACAATACTAATGCAAAGATGCTACATCTATTTCCAATTCTACTGTTAATGATTCTTATGTCAACAGGTAAGTTTATCAAAAAATGTTTTTGTAATATGTATTCCTAAGTTAACAAAAAATTAAACAGAAGTTTTATATTAATGAAATTTAAAGCTAAAATCAAATATGATCTCATTATTATCAGGTTTGCTAAATTCACTCTATAAATCTGATTAATGATAATGAGCAGTTAGCAGTGGAATTTAGGACATGAGTGACCGTTGAGCTCTGCTGGGTACGTAAAGTTAACCTCATGGAAACATGTACGTACTGGCTTTCCTTTTGATGGGACTGTCGGTCCTTGGCTTACGTAGGTGCTGGGAAACCTAGTCAATGTGTCTTCTAATGATCCCCTGAGGACTTTACTTCATGTTCGTTAAGAAAACTGGATTCTGGTAGTCACTATAGCTGTTGCTCAATGCATGGCTCAGGCGGCTCCACAACCCATGCTGAGTGCCAGGTCTAGCCAAGTAAACCGGCCATGCTGCCGTGGCCGAAGTGGGTTGTGGTTTCTTTGGATTTATAAGGACCCACAATGGAATGTCTGCTCTTGATACAGCTGTTGACTGACGATCTCGCAGGAGAATCTAAAACAACACATGCGCTGCTTTGGGTGAGATGAATCGCGTGCAGTTGGAAAACCATGAAACCACTTTTGTTGTGTAAAAGCGACACACGTGCAAGTGTAACTTGATCATTGATTGACCAAGTCTATCTATCAAAAGCGTGTTAAGTTATACTTTTTGAAGGCCATAACATTAACTGAAAGCTATCGAGAGACATATTCAGTCACAAAACATAAGTTGTTTAGCAAAATCATTGCGAAGACCCATCAGATGCACTACGTTTTATGTTTTCACTCAAAATTTTTCAAAACTGTCAACCAATAGACAGCCTGATATACACTAATTAATGACGGAGTTTTGGCAGATGACATTTGTTTAAGTCTTAAGTGATTATCAAATTCTACCGAACACTTTTACTTCATCTCTATGGTCCATCTGAAGATCTGAAGAATTTTATCTCTCTCCCATAAAACAGAAGTTCGTCAATTTTAAGGATTAGACAAATGTGACATTTTGACTAACTAATAACTTGTTAATACAAAAACAGGAGATCTGATGTGATCTGAAAAGTTCGGTTGTAACATTTCTTAATTACGTAAAGTGGTCCATTTTGAAATTTTAAGGGTGGTATCCGTTACCTCAGGTTTTCATATTCTCATTCTTGACAAAGGCTTACTAGCAATAAATGTAGGAAAACAGTACCCTATCAGTCATATCCAGCCATTCAACAAATGATATATGTATATGACTGTAATCTACAATATTTAATTAAAACTGGTTTGGTGACTTCCAAAAAACTTCAATCATGTAATGCCTTGTAAAGCAGGATTATGGTCAGATATAACTTCTTCAAATGGTCATTAATTTATAAACAACATAGAATCTGGTACATATATTTCAGTATTAGTCCGCCACTGGAGGCAGGTAGCGATCGAGTATAGTTAATGCATGCTTCGACCACTTCAGTTGGCGAATTTTTACAATCTTATCAACCAATTCACCATATTTGTCTCATATCTTGCGTCTTAAATCAACACAGCTCACTTGATATTTCAAATGCATATGGTCTATGTTTTAAAGACCCTCATTCTGAAATTTTCCCTGAAATCAACTAACTAGAAATAGTGAAATAATCAAGATGGGTGAATTGTCATCACGTTCAATTATATTCTGTCTATCCTTGATCTGAAAGCTGATGAGAACCAATCCTGAATTGTGACCTTTTGCAGTGAGAGGAAAAGAAGCTTGTGCTAATTATACATTGACTATTTTCAGTAGCCTGAATAATTTTATGATGTTCATCAACCAGAACTATATTGATCTGTTTATCCCAAGTTTGCCAATAAATCCCCTGGTAGGAAATCAATCACTGAAAAGCTAGACCAGGAAACTTTAATACTGAAAAGTTAAATATAGATGAGCAACATTGATCACCCTGAAAAAATCACTTGAGATTAATAATTATAATAAAAAGTAACCATAAACTCTAACTGGACCATCAGTTATGATAAAGTAGTGAGATTCAGAAACCATAATAATGTCAATAGACAGTATTGTTATAATGCGTATTCAAATCTCTATTTAGTCGAGAAATGCAAGTACAGATTTCTAAAAAATGAAAGCATATATTTCTTGATAATCTATTATTTATGTATTGTGCTGAAAGAAGCCTGTTACTTAGATATTAAGCGAAAAAAGCTAAGGGTATGGTATTTTGTTTCCTTCTCTTCACTTATATTTCATTAGTATACCTTATAAAATAACATACTTGAAAAATTTCAAATCTTTCGCAATTTAACATTAGAAAGCAAAATGATGCAACATTATTTATGTGTTTTTGGAATGAGCTTTAACATATAAGTTTAACATTTAGTTAATATATATATATATATATATATATATATATATATATATATATATATATATATATATATATATATATATATAGCACGAAAATTCTAGCTTCACAGACTTTCGCATATAAATTTATTATTATTATTATTATATATCAATGTCAGGCCTATCTCATTGACTTAAATGACATATTTCATTGATATTAGATCTTTTAACCAGAACATTTTGTTATTGAGAGAAACTTTTCAGACATATTAAATCATTTGTCAGTTTGAAAAAGTCAACTTTGAAACTTGTATTTATAGGTAACGTAAAAAAAGTGGGAAGAGAGTTTTTCTAATCAAACAAGTGTATTGTTTTATAAATCACGCAACAAAGTGAATGTCTGGAAAGAATTGTAACAAAATATTAAGTAACAAAATCAATTTTATGAACAGTTATGCAACGGATTGAGTATAACTTTCTCACCAAATATTTTATATAATTGTAAGCTTATATTTGGATAGAAATTGCTCGAATATGACTTTCATAATTGAATTTCTTTAGCTAGTTCATAATTATGCTTTTTACTTTTCTCAATATGGAAAGCGATTTCGATGGGGAAAAGTGATTTCTGAAAATAATCCAGATAATTTTAGAAAACACTTTCATTGTACTGATCATCAGATAAAAATCAATAAAATGATGAAATTAAGGAAATCAAGGTTTTATTAGTTGTTTGAATCTCTCTATTGACGCTTAGAATTAGATTTCATTGCTATCCATCACTATCCACCTCGTAAAATAATAGTCGGTCATTTATTGATTTTTTTTGTGAACTATTTTGTTCATTCATTTTTACTCATACCAGAAAGATTAAATTCAACATAAAATTAGTATTACGGGGTTGTGAAGATTGTTAAGTTACACGTTTTCGAAACCGTGACTCGATCAATGTTAGACCAGCATTAGAAACATGGAAGCACTGGACTGCCTTTTCGTCCTGGTACGGGACTCATCACCAGTGCGCATCCACGATTCCTGCACCCTACAGGATTCGAACCCAGGACCTTTAGTACAGTGAGCGAACGCCTTACCTCTGGACAAATGAGCCGGCTCCTAACGGTGTTAATGTCTAACTTGATCAATTCACAGAGTTGCGCAACCTCATACACTTTTAAACTTATCTTTTAAAACTATTTAACTGAGAATTATGCACGGTTAATATATTCCTACTGTTAGAAAATTTTAAATAAATATCACATAAAGGCTGACAAAGTCAAATGATACCGATGATTGCACCATAATCTACTGTATTTATTAGACTCTACATTGTCTTTATTAGTCTTTGAATAATTACCAAACACTTTTACAAAAACTTAACAGAGTTAGGGTAATTCATTAAACAATCTCAAAATGGTGATTACAGGATTAATGTACACTTAATCGAGATATAGTAAATGCAAACAATTCGATTATTTATCGAAGTTCCTTCATCTTTATGACTTCTCTATTGATAGTTCATTGAAAAGAATATCATTGGAAGCAATATATATAAACCAGTTTAAATCAGGGACTGAAGTACTATTCCTATGAATATTTCTATGCATTCAAATAAATGAGGTTTCAAAAGTAATTGGCTAGATAGATGATAATTGTTGTGAATTTGTTTTCATTGTATTTCACCCAGTCATTATTTTATGAAGTTCCCTGGGAATACTGCAATAATCTAATGCCCTTGTACAACAATACAGCCTAGGTTGATGCTTAAATGAGTCACCATGTCCAGTCATTAAGCTCAAACGTTGTCCGACTTGTCGCTCTTATATAATAACTGTTACACACTAATATTGACATTGACAAACCTGATTTTGAATTTATTTGTGACAACAGTTGAGTTTTCCGTGAACTACAAATTAGTTTGTTTTAATGTTGTCATTTGAACCTTGTTAACTTCATTAGTGTTCAGAGGATCTTTCATTATGTTTTGTTCTGATAAACCAAAGATTGTTTAAATTTTTGCTATTCAATTTGTTGCCGTAAAATTGAAATTATATGTAGATAGACATACTTTTTTTGTACTGTAACTGTGATTTTGAAGTTACTTTACATCTCGAATATAAATTACATCTCTGACTAACATGATTTCGAAATCAAGAAGAGTTTCTGTTAGATGTTGTATTTTAATGTATCAATGATGTTTAAGTTTGTCCATTGTTTTAGAAGTTTTATAAATCCTTAATAGGCAGTAGACCTTTCAAAGTGTTCAGAATAAAGGTTTTAAGTCCTAAAAAAAACTCATTTCTATGATGAAAAATGAAACGTAGACAAACGAATCATGATTTTATTTCTGTTCCTTGCTAAAAACATCAATACAAGGGATTTCGAGTACATAGTGCCCAATTTTTCAAAATCTGTTTTACGTAACCTTAGTTTGAACATATAACATCAAGCTAAAGTTTGTATGATTTTGAAATGATACCTTACTTAACAAGCGGCAGTATTTCGTGGCTGTCAAAATTAATGTGAAATAAAAATAGCATACAATGTTTTTATTTGGAATCTTTGAAGTAAAAACATAATGTTAATTATTTTACTCATTTGAACCTATCACTTAGAATCAGGCAA